ATATTTTGTAACAAGAAAAATGACAAGAAGGTTTCAGAGCATTAGAAAAATGAGTTTATATGAATTTTATTTACTTCTATCTGTTGTTGATTCGTGATGATATTTGAATCAGTCCTTTCTAGACATAGATATAATTTTGAGATCACTTTAAAATTTATTATTCTATTACATTGTTTTTAAGTTAAAAATGTCTTTCAATTGTCATCACTCATCTAAATAATAATTATTCCTGTGTTGGGAAATATGTATATGAAATAAAACTTTTAAATAGCAACTTAAATTTTATTCCTGAAGTTTATTCTGTCAGAGTTATCTATGATTGATTGTACCTTATATTTTAATGATGTACTGTAAGTAGACATACAGAATTTCTAACTAAATGCCCAGTGAGATGGCTCATTGGGTAAAGATGGTTGCCAGAAAGCCTGACAAATTGATCTTGATCCCTCGTGGAAAACAACAAATTTCCAAAAGTTGTCCTCTGATTTCCACATGCTTGCCATGGTGTGCATGTGTGTGTACTTGTAAGTGCATGTATGGGTCTGTGTGTGTGTGTGTGTGTGTGTGTATGTGTGTATGCATGTACTCATATACTCACAAATAAATGTGGTAAAATGAATTTCTAGTTCAACAAATATCTGTTAATTTCTAGAACACTAAATATTATATTTATATTTCCAAATGAAATTTGCCCTTTAGAATTCTCACCATCATTTGAGTGGATGTATGTTTTATACAAATTTCATCCCAAAGTGACAGAGGTTCAGGCTAGATATATACTCAACTACTCTAATATCCAAATGAAATAGTAAAATAAAAGCATACTCCATTGTCTACACTGTTATAATTTTAAAAATGTTTATATTCGTAACTAGCATTTCCCACAATAAAACTTACTCTTTTCAATGTAACTGACAATAAATCTGAGTTATTTAAATTCTGTTTGTGTTAAATCATGTATTTCATATGTATGCTATTTGCTGATTTCTTAATTTATTGTGGTTTTGTATTTTATAATCTTTGTCATTTGTATTTATGTATAGAAATGAAAAGTAGAAGTTGCTTTTGGTAAAGCCTTTTGTTTAACCTGATGAGCCTGAGTTTTTGTTTTTTTTTTTTTAAAGGTCAGATGGATAAGATGTTTCCACTTTACTTACTCCAATGTATTCTAAAGAATATTAAGCAGAAGAATAGTTATTTTAAATACAAAAATATTCAAGTAACTTAATCATGTCTGGGTATGTTCTATAGTTAATGTAAGACTTTTCCATCTCTAACCTTTCCACTGGGGTTTATGTTTAGATCACTTGATACATTGCCATTTAAAAATATAATAGGTACAACTTTATGTATTAACCTAATATATCAGATAAGTTCAGAGATAATGAATAAATGTTATACCTTATTATTGGTTAATCAAATGAGGCTGTTTTGTGACTTCTCTAAAGTGCTTTATAATAATACTATGCCAAACATGTTCTTCCCAGAGCTTCCTTTCCCCCTTAGAACTTTTATATTAAAATAGACAAGCTGATTCACAAGAACATATGTGGGTGGTATTCTATACTCTAAGATTACAAACTATTAGTTATATGTATTCATGTTTGATATTAACATAAACTATCCAGTAGAAAAATAACCTGGAAGACTAATGCGGTCACCACAGACCAAGTAAAACCTAGTGGCAATGGAGTCTTACACCTTATTTCCTACAAAACAGTAACTCCTCCAATAAAGAATAAAAAAAAAAACTGTTGATTTGATCTTATCCTAATTCAGATCAAATGAGATATATTTGCAACATTAAGATATGAGTGGTAAGTGGGGTACAGCGAAAACTGATAGATGACTGGAATATAAATGTTCCCTGCCTCACAAGGGTTCTGATTAAGATACATTTCTGACTAGTCATCGAAGAGTGAAGAAACAGGTTGAGCTTGTTGCAAATTTTGCCTGATGGAGTTAGGAAGTTTATACAAAGGTAAACTTGATCCAGAAAGTCATGAAAAATGTAGGAAGATTTAACCAAACAAGTAATACATCGTTCAGAAACCTTGATCCGTTTTTGAACCTTTTCTGATCATTATTTAAAGAATCCAGATTTTAATATTATTTAGAATTTAGTTAAATACAATTTGAATTAAATTAAATCTCAATATCGAGGTTTTCAGTTTATCAAAATTGTTGGGTAGCAAGTTAGGCATGATGCATCAAATGATATAAATAATACATAACTATAACTTGGATTAGCACCCAGAAACACAGTTCATGTAATTTTAACTTTAAAATTATAGGTAGATACTTTTTGTGTATTATGTGTACCTGGTGACCTTTTGTACAAGAATTAAGTATGGTGATCAGGGGACATGAGAGGGTGGTTGGGAGGTGTAACGAGTATGGTTTTTCTGCCCGCCGACGCCCGGTCTTGTCCTGCCGCTGTGCCAGCCCCAAATAACACACAGAGACTCTGTATTTGATACAATACTGTTGGCCTGGTTACTTGTTTCTTATCTGTTAGCTCTGCCTTAATTATTAACCCATTTTTGCTGATCTATGTATTTCTCTTACCGGGGAGCCGGCGGCATACTGCTTTCTCCAGACTCTCCATCTTGACCCTCCTTCCTACTTCCTATTTCCTCCTTGTCTCCTAGTCCCTCCTATCTTCCTTTCCTATTGGCCAACAGTGCTTTATTATTAACCAGTATGAGAAACATATACAGAATGACATCTCCCATCATCTCCTCTTTTCTGTCTAAATAAAAACAAGGGTTTTAACCTTAACATAGCAAAATATATCACATAACAGTTATCAAATAAGAATCACAGTTAACACTATTTAGTCCATTAACATTTAGCAAGATTTGAAGAAAATATTCCATCATCTATCATATCTTTGTGTGTCTAAAGTCTAAGTAACTTATCTTTAATACTAAGGAAAACTGTAACCATAACTCTCTGTCTTCAAGTCCCTCAAAGACCACAGAAGGATAGTATAAACTCTAGAAATGACAGGGACAACTCACTGCCTGGTCACCCGAAGTTCTTTTGTAATCTTCCATCTTCAGCCCATAGGCCATAGTGTGTCTGGCAGACTCTTCAGCAACACAGGAAACTTTAAACTGTCTTCTTGTATTGGCAGTTTGTCAGTCACTTTTCTCTGTGTCCTGCATACTGTCTCGAAGACTCTTCCATGAAGCAGGATCTCTGTAGCAATGTCCATCTTGAATCAGCAGTCACTTTTCTGTGGGTCCTGCATGTCCAGTATATACAGCATAAAGTCAAACAGTCCAGACAAGAGCAGTATCTTGTCCAAATGGCTAGTCTTGCCATATTGGAAGTAAACTCCATAATGAGTTTCTTCAATGTCCATCTTCATCTTCCTTTTTGACGCAGGTGGTGTTGCCAGGAACAATTATGTCTCATTGTCAAGAAAAACCCTAAACCATTTTAAATGCCATATTCTGTAGGTCTTTGAAAGATTTGAAGAATATCTATCTATCTCAAATACATCTGCATATCTAGAAAACCTAACTCACCTAGCTATGTTTTGACTATTATAGGTAACTATCTAAAATCTGTACTAAATTATACATTACATTTTTAAATGAGCTATATAAACACAATACATAAACAAGAAGAGAAATATACATATACAACATTGACCTTAAATTGTATCAATAAATGAAAATCCATTCCAAAACAAAGTATTCATATCTATACCATAATTCCCTTTTTACCTTTAAAAAGAATTGGCTATGATCATTAACCATTTATAACCAAGTCCATTTAAATGAAAACAAACATTTATAAACAATATTTGGGAATTTGGGCGTCGTTCTTTCCAAACTACTTCCTGCTGACAGGGGGCGCTGTCATGGGGATCCTAAGAAGATGCAGAAATCCTGGCTCTGTCTCCCAATTGCTGGGATTAAAGGTGTGTGCCACCACACCCAGTTCCTCTTTGTTTATTTAAAACCATTTTTTTGTTTCCCAAGCCTATGTATTTTTTTAAAACACAGTGTAAACTTTTAGCACCTTTTGTTAACGTGAATATGTCTCTACTGTAAATCTTTATCTTTTTTTTTTTTTTTGGTTTGAGTCTTTATCTGTTAAACAACAACATTGTTAAAATGAAAGTCTTTGTTTTTGCCGCGGTTTACCAAAGATGGTGGCGGGTACTTTTACTGTCAGCATTGAGAGCTGTGCTCACCGCCTTGGTCTGCAGTGCCACCCAGAAAGCATTTTAAGTGGAAGTTCTTACTAGCCACGTGGGCGCCATTTGTAACGAGTATGGTTTTTCTGCCCGCCGACGCCCGGTCTTGTCCTGCCGCTGCGCCAGCCCCAAATAACACACAGAGACTCTGTATTTGATACAATACTGTTGGCCTGGTTACTTGTTTCTTATCTGTTAGCTCTGCCTTAATTATTAACCCATTTTTGCTGATCTATGTATTTCTCTTACCGGGGAGCCGGCGGCATACTGCTTTCTCCAGACTCTCCATCTTGACCCTCCTTCCTACTTCCTATTTCCTCCTTGTCTCCTAGTCCCTCCTATCTTCCTTTCCTATTGGCCAACAGTGCTTTATTATTAACCAGTATGAGAAACATATACAGAATGACATCTCCCATCAGGGAGGGAGGAAGAGGGAACTAGGATCGATATGGAAAATAAAAATAAAAGGTGAATTATTAAAAAAAAGAATTAATTACCAGTTGACATTCTCCCACTTTATGTTTTCCTCCTTAAAAAGTTATACTAGGGGCTACAAAGATGGCTCAGTGAATAAGAGTGAGGTTAGTTTCCAGTACCCATGGTGAGTAGCTCACAATTGCCTGTAATCGAGCTGTAGAGACATCTGATGCCTCTGAGGGATCAGCACTAATGTTCACACAAACACATAATAAAAAATCAAATGAAACATTTAAAAAATTATAATAACTGGTGATTTGTTTGTTACGTACACCATGTGTTTACCATAACTTTTCTTTTTCACTTCCAGTGTAAAACTCTTTCTGGAGTCTGTGACCACATCATATCCCTGTCATCAGATCCTCTGGTTTCACAGTCTGCTCACCTGGAAGTGATTCAGCTGGCAAATATTAAGCCAAGTGAAGGGCTGGTAAGGGACACTATGTTTATCAAAGCCATCATCCATCAGCACAAAGCAAATGATAGGGACAAAGAAGCAGTCTCTAAATGTAGAAGTCTAGGAATTTCTACAAAGACTCACCTTTCTTTTCATTTCCTGTAGAGATGAATGAAGGTAGTAGAAGAGTGTCATAAAAACACCTTTAAAAGATAAGCCAATAAAAAGAGAGACATTAAGGGGAATTTCTAAACTATCCTATTTAATTGGGTTGTCATTGGTTGCATTCTTTTACCAATTAAAATTTCTTAGCTTAAGGACATTTAATTAAGAGTTTTACAATAAGCACAGTGTTACCTGCCATTCAAGTAGGAATTTTCTGCGTTTGTTTTACTTTGATTTAACCTGCTTTTAATAGGTCTTCCTTCCCCTTCGGTAAGTAGGGAAAGAAGAGTGACAGTTTTGTGTGTGGGTCCATGTGTAATATATATGTGTGTATGGGCAGGCATACCTATGTATGCACATGTTGGGGCCAGGATTTAACATTGAGCATTTTACTCAGTTGTTCTCTCCAAATTGAAACAAGAGTAACTTACTGACTGGACTAACTAACTTATTAGTCTGACTAGCCAGCAAGCACCCTGATACATCTACATCCTGTCTCTCCCAGCACTGGGATTATAGACAAGTTCCACCATACTTGACATTCTGTGTGGGTGCTGGGGATCTGAACTCAGGTCTTTATACTTACATAGTAAGCACTTTACCCACTGAGCCATCTCCCCAGACATTATAATGTATATGAATTGCATGCCTTCCATTTTTTACATCTCTTATTATAAGAATTGAATAAGCAACTGGATAGTGCTACCACTAGACTAACATTCATGAACAGCATTGATAAATTTTTATTATATTAATAGTATGTTCAACTAGATAAAAGTCTTAATTATAAATTAAAAGCTCTCAAGGGAGAGCTTTTCAAATACCACTGTAGAAAGCAAGTATATAAAATTGATATGGATGAGAAAGACACAGATACACTAAACAGAAACTGGCTGAAGTGCATTTAACCACAGTATACTTATTAAACATTAGTTTCATCTGATGGTGTTCTTAACTTTTTCCCCGTACATAATGATAGTCTAGAAAAGAGAAACCTTGGGGAAAAAAGCATATTCATAATGATCTCTAAGTAATTTTTTAATGTTTTTTTTACACACATATGTCTGTATGTCTTTGTAGTTATGTGTGTAACTGTTTCAGAGAGGAAAGCCTTTGTTGACCACTAGTGACATTTAGTTTTAGGCTGTTCTTGTATTCTGTACAGTGACATTTCTCCTGCTATGTGGCAAGTTTACTCTAGGTATTTACAGTTTCTAGTGTTCTTGTTTGTTTGTTTGTCTGTCTGTCTTTTAGTTTGATTGGTTGATTTGCTTTCAGTTAATTTGATTTTATAAGTATTGCCTTGAAAAGATGAAAATCAAATATAGCATCCTGATTACATAGCATCTTGCTAAGTTGTAAGTACTATACCTACAATTGGCTTAATTTCAAAGCTTATTTTTGATATTTTTAAGTTTATATTAAGAAACATTTATGATTTAGAATTCTCATTGCATCATTTCCCCCTTTATCTGAAGTTTACTTTCTGTGGTTTCAACTAACATGATCAACTGCAATCCTAATATATTAAATAGAAATTCCAGAAGCAAACAATTATTACATTTGAAATTGCATACCATTTTGACTAGTGTGATTAAAATCTCATACCAACAGATCTGAGATGTGTAATACTATTGTCCAGCTTAGCCAAACTATATATGATATCTATATGATATCTACTCATTAGCTCTTTTAATAGCACTTGAGATTATGAAATTGTCAGTCATGATATTGCAAGATCTTATATTCAGTCAACTCTTACTTAACTTGTAAATAACCCCAATGTATACAAATAGTGGTACTTACAAATAAGATATGCTAAGAAGAAGCCATAAAATGATGCCTATAACTGAAAAATTGAAAATACATGATACTTTGAGAGAAGGAAATTACATTTGTTACCATTATTTCAGTATATGATCATAATTTTATTATTAGTTTTTCAAGACAGGGTTTCTCTGTGTAACAGCCTTGGCTGTCTTGGAACTCACAGAGATCCTACTGTTTCTGCCTCACAAGTGCTGGAATTAAAAGCATGTGCCACCACTGCCTAACTATTAATCATTTTTAATCTCATTTACTTTATAAATGAAAATCATTTTTACAATTGTATAAGAAGAAACAATACACACATATAGACATACTATGTTTGGTACTAGTCACACTCCCAGAAACATCATAGACTTTGAACATATCTCCATACGAATGATCACTTTCTCGTGAATGGTTGTGCTCTTTTTGGTTACCTTTACCAAATTTTGTTTTTGAAGGTAAAATACCCTCAAATGGATGATAATAAGTATGTTCCTCTCTTCATCTCTTCTTTTAGTTATTGTCAATGAAAAATGTTCTTAGGATAATGTATGCAATAGAAAATTAGGGAACTAATACAACACTACATTAGCTTAGAATTTACTGATCTGAATTTAAATTATTTACATAAAACATGAGAGCAGTCTCATGGATGTGCAAGATCTAATTTAAATTCTGTGGCCTTGATTTTGTCACAAATAAAATGTAAGGGGATAGTGGAGTATAGGAGGGAGGGAGGGAGAGAGAGATGGAAGGAGCGAGAAGGAACTGGGATCAATATGTAAAATAAAAAAATTAAAAACAACAAAAAAGAGTAGATTATCTTTAGAAGTACTCTGAGCTTTATGACTCAGTGTATTATTCAAATAAAACAACCTAATTATCCCTCTAATTTGCACTAAAAATCAAGAGGAACAATAGGCATGTGAAATGAACTAAAACTAATTGATGGACTTTATGAACAATTTACTTTCACTATGAACATATAGCTCCTGAAGAGATTTTTTTTTTAACTTAAGGTATCTACTATTCGAAATGGACATAAACTTAAAATGGCAAGAACCAAAATTTACATAGTTTCTAAAACAACTGTCAGTGGAAAGGAAAAAAATAGAAGTCAGGATAGGTGTTAGATGAACTTTCCATTTGCCTTTTATTTTCCTCACAACCCTACAGAGTAAGTATTATTTTTTTCATTTTTGCAAGTAAGAAGAGAACCACAGATTTTTACTGATTGCTTTGCATTAAATAATAACTAATAGAGGCAGGGATTTATGAGGTGAATCTAAATAAAATATATCTGGCAAATATGTTTTCATTGTCTTATATGCAAATTTGGAATAGCTAAAGGGAGGTATGAGCAGCTTAAGAGGATAGTGTTAAATTTGAATTTGTATAAAGAACCTCATTTTTAAAGGACAGCAGGCAGTACTTCAACTAAATTGATATTTCACAGGGAGAGAAATAAAAACCTGAAATGTTGAATATTAATTGAAAGAATTAAGGGTGAACCTCTTTCTTCTGATTCATATCAAGTTTGCTAAAGATTAGAGGCTTTACATGACTTATTCAAGATGCTATTTTAAAATGCACTCACTTTTAAGTAACCTTCATAGCTTACAGTTAAAATAATTCAATTTATGAATTTGACTAACATTCAGCAAGTGCTTAACCATGGGAAATGTCTAAAAGGCAAATGCAGGGGGAGAAACTGCAAACAAGTGTGCTTAGTTAAAATTAAGCCATGTGACTTGCCTTTAAAAGCAATGATTAGCAGAAAATGTTATAATGTAGAAATGAGATCTATTAGAACATTTAAAAGCTGAATGACAGACAAGAGGTGATGAGTTGAATAGAGGGGAGGGGCCCCAGGGCATCATTCCGGAAGCTTGGCTTCAGGCTTCTTTCTTTTGTGAAGTGCTTGAACGACCTCCAAATGTGCCTTGTTTTACCATCATGACTGTTATTGTTTGGCTGGTATTTGGAGATGAAATGAAGCAAACATCATCTTAGCAAGCTGAGCAGGGAAAAGAAAGCTGTTCAAATCAACTTGAGAATTAATTTTCTCCCCCCAAAATATGAAAGATGGCTTTAATAAAATACAAGGCCAGTATTCATCACATTTCCAGGAAAACAATGGTATTTGAATGATATGTCCTTCTGGCATTTCCTCACAAAGGAGCAATAATGAGAGGTACTCTTTGTGAACTCCATATCATCTTTTGGTGCCCGACTTTTGGGAATTTATTCTAATTCTAAGGTGAGAGTAAAGGATAAATAAATCCATTTTCATTATTAAATATATAACAAATGATTTATTGACATTAGAAATTATAATAAACATAAATAATCTTTATTCTTGTTCCCTTTTAAAATCATGCTTTCTATCCCTTTGCTCATGTTTATGATAGGGTTTTAGAGTTGAACTCTGTGTATCTATACCCAATCTTAATAGTTTCAGTGTTGTCATTTTGAGGCCCGGTCTCACTGTATATCATATATCCCTGGCTGTCCTGGAACACAATATGAGACCAGGCTGACCTCTGCTTTTCAAATGTTGGGATTAATGGCTTACACCATTCGAAGCACTAACTTTATGTAAATATTAACCTTTATCTGAAAATAGCTTTGATATAAATTATAAAATATTCTTATGATCCCATAAATAATATAATCCTGTGTGTACTAAATACTTAAAGTTAAAATTTTGATTTAAAAACAAAACCTAGTTTCTGCCATAATTCCTCATAAATATTATTTCCTGATTCATAGATTTCCATAATTTTCATCATCCATGGGTTTGGGGTTCTTTTCTAGACACTGTTATTAGTATACTAGATTTTCTTTATGACCAAAACATTCCCAGAATCATTTAAAACTCTTGTCAAATACTAATAATCATAATCAATACACCCTACATTAAAAGATTTGTGGGAAGAAATATAATCAACCTCTACTTAACATTATGAAAGGAGATGACATTAAAATACGTTTGTAAACTATCCAGCATCAAACGTAGATACTCTTTCAAAACACATTATGTATACTGCATATGTGCTAAGGTTATTGTTAGACTTTTAGACTGTAGGTTTCAACAGTTGGGAGTATATGTAGTTCAATAGTAGAGAGCTTGTCTATCATGACTGAGGCCTGTGGTTTGATGCCTGTGCTTACCAGAAAATAATATACATTAATTATTGTTTTCTTTACTCCAACCTTTTACGATGTTCAGGTATTGTGTTTAAATAAGAAAAGTATATTAACTCTCTTGTAAATGATTCCAAAATCAGAAGTCTAGTGATTGAGAGTGTATCTGGATTCAGACATGAGACCTGACGTCACTAGGCATTCTGTTCCTCAGTTTCCTTACCTCTAAAACAGTGTTACACCACATAGATTTTTGGAAAATAAACTTTAGATACTTAAAAGAGGCCCAGGATTATTGTAATAGATAATAGTGGTAATGGAGATAGATAGGTAGATAGATGATAGACACATAGATAGATAGATAGATAGATAGATAGATAGATAGATAGATAGGTAGGTAGGTAGGTAGGTAGGTAGGTAGGTAGGTAGGTAGGTAGATAGGTAGATAGGTAGATAGGTAGATAGGTAGATAGGTAGATAGGTAGATAGATAGATAGATGATTATTGTTTTCTAGTCCAAATATGTTTTATTTCTTTTGCTGTCATTTCCCATTTTGCAATCTTTTAGAGGAAAAATTTAAAAGAAAATGTAGTATTTACCTCTTACAAATAGATCTTAAGATCTTTTATTGATTTGATAAAATCTTGCCAATAGGGTAGAAATGTCAGCACCAATCATTCTCTCCTAAGATTTATATTATTTGCTTTCAAATAAGTAACGGGACTAATATTAACTCAAAAGCCTGTATGTCATACACTCTAACCAGCATAAGGTTGGATATTACCATATTATTATAGCAAAAATGACTAGTCAGTTTGTCAGGTATTTCTATGTATACTTTTGTTTGGGTTATTATTTATTATTCTATTGTGAACTTCCATTTAAGAAACTAGAATTCACTGGCAAACAACCTTCTTTTTAAATTGCTTCATTTCATTTCCCATTTAGAGCTCCAGGTGCAACAGTTTTTATGGAACAGTTTTTATGAAACCTTTCAATATAGAAAATTTTGAAATGACTTTAGAATGAAAGAACTACCCAGTCATTTCTTCATCCTTCCATACAATTAACTATTCTGCTTCTTTTTTCTTTTCATTGAAATCACAGGTACATAAGGGTGTTTGGATAGAGTAAACATTAAAGTATGAGAATATATTATAGAAATTTATTGCATTACATAATCTTAAATGGAAACTTTTCTGCAAATCTATTGTTGGTTATTGTTAAATCTCTTGTACACCAGATATATAAATCTTATATATCAGGAACATAACATACAGGATGCTACAATATAGGAAACCAAAATTTACAGAAGTAAGATTTTATTACTATTTCACCTCCAGCTAATTACACATAGAATATCTCTGTTGATGCCTACTTTTAAGAAGTATAACAGGCCAATAACATATATACAAAAAAATTGAATTTCTGGTGGTGGTGACGCATGCCTTTAATCTCAGTACTTGTAAGGCAGAGACAGGTGGATATCTGTGAGTTCAAGGCCAGCATGGCCTACAGAGTGAGTGCCAGGACAGGCTCTCAAGCTACAGAAAAGCCCTGCCTCAAGGACAAAATTGAATTTCCTATTATGATCTTTATTTTGTCACAGGATACCAAGTAGTTACTTGATTGGATGTAAACTTCTTTAGACAACCTTTAGAAACCTGAACATTCACATGGTAACTTCTTGCCAGTTTTAAGGCAGCACTGTTAACTCATGAATAAATTTACATCAATTTGTATTTTAAAATATGTCTGTTGCTTCACTTTTTTCTGATCCTATCTTTTTCTTAGGGTATGTATATTAAATCCACATATGATGGCCTCCATGTAATTACTGGAACCACAGAAAATGTAAGTATTAAAACATTTCCAAATTGAATATGCATATATTTCACTTGATTGAGGCTAACTTGACTCCAAGAACATATCTAAAAATACATAGTAAATTAGTAGATTCTAGATACATTGGAATTTCACTCATTTTGTTTGTCTAGGATAGTGACTTAGAGAAATTCAGATTTCCTTTTTAAGCCAGAGAGTTATCTTTGTTAAGTACTTTCTGACACATGACAAGTTATTGTGACAACTAATTAATCTACTTCCATCTGTCAAGTAATTTAGTTAAGGAACTTAAATGTTGTGAGAAATGTCAAATCAGCTGGGCTTTCTGGACACTTGCAGCATAATTCAGCTCAGTGCAGTAGAGCTATTATAGCTGAATAGTTTCAACAGTACAATTCCTCCACTAGCAGCATCAGCATCAAATAAGCAGGTTAAGGATGATAGATAGTTATGCCTTAAAAAGAGAAATATAAATACATTAAATCAGTCATTAACACGATTAGCTTAATGGAAATTGAATAACAGAAAATCATTAATTATCTCAGATTTCTTTTTGTCTTTCCTAAGCAGGTGATTTTGTTGTTATTTCCCTTTAGATGTTCAGATAAATTGCATGTGTATGCTGTGTTACTTTAGAAAGAATACTGTGGTGGGATTAAGTTCATTTCAGCTGTCATTGATCCCAATGTTTTACCAATCTTTTCTTCTTCAAAATAACCATTTTCTGCCCTTAATTCCCCTATTAACTCTAATTAATTATTGATGTAACTTCTTGGTTTCTTGTTGAATATGAAACCTGTGTAAGTGAATGTTGTAGCATCTCCTTACTTGATATTAATAATGGACACCATGAAAATCAATAAAATGCATGTTGTGAAATATTTCCTAATTTGAAATTCAGTAAGCATTATGCACTACACTGTTGCCACCATTCTCTAGTGCATTCATTAGATCACTCGTGTACTCACTGGTCATTTAAGAAGCCCATTTACCTGACAGTTGTGAACTGTGCTTCATATGCGTTACATACTCTGTGAAACTTGGTAAATGGTTATATGATGAAAGGAACATTTCAGTCTGGGAGTATTTCACATATCAGTCACATTCATAGTTCATCCTTTGATCCTTTTTCTCCTGATGATACTTTAATATTTTGGAACCCTTCTTAATTGTAATTAGAAGTTCTGTGTTGATTCTTAGTAAAGCCAATAACTATGTTTTTTCTTTGCTGTGTCCTAGTTCTTTTTTTTTAATGTTTGAAGTGAGGAATTAGGGGAAATGATCCCTGAGATCCTATTCCACATTGAAAGTCTATAATTTGTATGGCTCATTCTGATTTTTCCTTTCTATATAAAACAAGTTTCTTATTTTTTAAAAGCTTTATGTGCATTAATCTTTTTTAATAACTTGACCAGAGGGATTTGCTTGATTTTTCTCCCATTCCTCTTTACAAAAAAAAAAAAAAAAAAAAAAACAATCAGCTTTCAGTTTTGAGCCAAATGGCAGAAGTGACTGGTACTATTGCAGTAGTGATTTATAATCCTTTCAAAATAATTACATCGTGCTGATCTGATATAGTAAAGTTGCCACCTAATAAAGATATTTAGTGAACACTGACTTTTTTTCACAATAGTGTTTATATCTCACATGAATTTGCCTCCCTAACTGTATTCTTAGTTCATTTAATAATGTGCTTTTTGGAATATTGCTTTGAATTTTAGCCTATGGTAAATTTTTTTTGTAGGCTAAATCTTTCTTTCCAGTGAGATAATATAATTTGAAGCCTTCTATTTTGAAGTTTTCAAAATAATTAAAAGTTGGAAATGAATTATTACAAAGTAACTGACCTGAGAACGTGGCTGAATTTGTGCTAGAGTGTTTAGAGTACAAACATGAGGACCTGAATTTGGATTCCAAGTACCCATATACCAGCCAGCTACTACAGAGAACCTCTGAAACACCGGTCCTGGGGGTGGAAGGAGTACATAGGTAAATCCGTGGGGCTTGCTGGCCAGTCAGTATAGCTAATCCATGAGCTCCAGTTCACTTAGAGAAGCTGTCTCAAAAGTAAGGTGGTGGAGTCACCAAGAGGATTCAGAAGGTACAGGTGTGTGCTTGCTATTTCTGACAACCTGAGTAGATCCCTGAAACCAATGCAGTGAGGAGAACTGACTCCTTAAGGTTGTCTGATGAATTCCATAGGTATGCTATGGCCTCTATATTTCCCCTTCTGCGCGCGCACACACACACACACACACACACACACACACACACACACACACACACACACACCACACACTATGAAGGTTAAAAAAAAAATAAAGAGTGTATAAAATAGATCAGTGGGTAAAGGCACTTAGTATAAAGCATAATGATCTGTCTTCCCTCCCTGGAAGCAGCATAGTACAAGGAAATAACTGACTCCCCATATTTGTTCTCTGATTGCCATAGATGCCACCAAGATACAAGCTTCCCCACATACATTTTTAAGAAGAACAAATAAGGTAGTGAAACAAGTTGAGAAAATATCTTATGTCACCTGTGGCTTAGATACACACGCACATGCACACACGCATGCACATAAAACAAAATAACCCAAAATCACTTTTAAAGTACATCCCATTCCTGGGTCTCAAAGATAATGCTTTATTTTCTGCATTCTGTCAAACACTACTTTTCTTTATTATTATAATAGATGCTACTAAGTAATCTCAGAGCACAAGCAAATCTATTACATTAATAGATTAATATGTTTTATAACAATCCATCTCTATAGTCAGTATTGGCATATAAAGATTCCTGAAATGCATTTAATTGTTAATCAGTAGTAACTAGAAAAATGAAGCTACAAATCTATTGCAAGACCTGGAGAATAAAAAATATTCTGTCACAAACGTCATTTTAGTTTCCTTTATATGTAGCAAAACTTACAAATTACAAAATTGGCTTTTTTTATTTTTGATTTTAATTTTATATTAAGTAAAGTGATGAAATTGTTATGTGATGTAGACATGTTGACATTTTATGTAATTTAGTGTGATTTGTCAACCAATTGTATTACAGTGTATGAAACATAGAACAGCATGCTCTTGTATTTAGATATTGGAGAAAATGTTATATAATGCAGAATTGACCTAATTTCTGCTTGTGGCTTAATTTTTGTTCTGTATTATTCTGGATTGGTTTTATAAATAGTGAAATAAATTATAAACTTAATTATCCAGTTTCAAATTGTAATGCTAATTATATGTATATGCCTGAAATTATTGATGTTTACATTAATATGTATTTTTATATTAAATGGGGCAGGCCTAATTAAACTCATAGTAATGTGAACTAAAGATATATATTTTTGCATTCTTTTTTATTGAAAATAATTTATGCAGCATATTTTATACAGTATATCAGTTTCCTTTTCTAGTCTCCTCTCAGATCCTCCCTACACTTCCAACTACACACCTTCTGTTTCCCTCTCAGTGTTTCTTGTTTCATTTATTGTCTTTTGTTTTTAAATTTGCCTGTTTGTGAAATATATCTTCAAACAAGCTGCCTAGTAGTATTTAGCAGTTTTCTGGATTAAGTTTGCCAAAGTTACTACCAAGTATTATTGTCCTTTATTGCATTCAGAACGGTGTTATTTTCCAATGTAAATATCTGTGTATGACTTTATATTGGTTTCATCAGTAGCTATACACAGAATGCAAACCATGTGTTAACTATCAGTAAGCACATTATAGTAATTACTTGAAAGGTATAATTAATTTAAAATCCAATTAAAGAGAGGGATTTTTGTAATGTTCCCAGAAGAAAAAAAAAAGCTGATAAACCTTATGTTATCATTTCTTTTATGTTACATTCAGTCGCCTGCAGATCGATGCAAGAAAATCCATGCTGGTGATGAAGTGATTCAAGTTAATCATCAGACTGTGGTATGTATAATTACATTAAGAGTCAGTGGGAGAAACTTTTTTAAAGAGTAGCTAAAAACTTTCAAATGATACCAGTGAAATTAAAAGCCAGAATTTTATATAAGATAATTGAAGAACTTTAAAAAAATAAATAATCACTCTTACTAATTGAAGAACTTTAAAAAAATAAATAATCACTCTTACAAATTGTTTGATGGAATTGTAAGACATGGATTTTTGAAAAATGAGGGAATATTGGGGCTGTGAATTTGGACGTTTTGTGGCATAACAATTTTTTTCATTTTTATGTAATTGTGAATTAGGTAAATTTAGTGGTTATATATACATTCATATATATTCATTTATCTGTTGTAACCTTGACTTATTCATTAATGTGTAGAGGATTTGGGCATAATTAAAATGCACATTTTTGTAACAATTATAATCCTCAGTAGCTGACTTTGCTCTTGGCTTGCCAAGAGGAACTATAGTTTACTTCTAAAAATCTTATGCTAAATTAAATAACTTCACTTTTCTTCTTGCCCTGTGAGGCTCACAAATCTGTTCACAGAACTACGAATGCCATTGGCATTTAATGCCTTTGATACATGTGGAAGATTTTCAAAGATGTCAATAATGAACAGCATTCATTTCCATTTATTTTTTATATGCCTCAGATAGTTTTCTTTATTCCCCCTCTTTGGCAAGCATACGGTTGTTGCAAGAATTTGAAATTAAAATAATATGAGATTATCAATATAATCTTCATCTTTAAATCTTTGGGGATTTAAAAAATAGTCTACATGTAGTTTTGTAACTTTAGGATGAGTAATTGTTTCCTGTTCACACTGTTGCTCTCTATCTGCTTCTGTATGTCCTAATTAGAGAAGAAAATTTGGGAAGACTTTTTCTTTGGAAAAGTTTAGAAAGTCTCCCAATGATCATGAAATTTAAAGATAGTTCTTCAGTGAGTTAATTATCTAGCTGATATAAAAGTGGACAGATTTTTTTTTTACAAGACATATTGATGTGTGGCTGGTACTAAACAATAAAGGGCTGATAATATAAAAAGAACCCTATGACAGTCCTGATGACTTTATTTTCTCTATATAAAGAAAGAATTGTTCAAAGTGATTGTCCCTTGGAAATTTCTGGACTCATATTGTGAGAATTTGGGTAAGGGGATAAAGCAAATGTTGCAGTACATTGGTAGCTTTTCCCTCACTTCTATTCATATTGCTTCCTTCTCTGCAAGAGGCTTTAACCTGTAGACCTCCGTTGTACATTTTCCACATGAATTTGTACTTGATCAAATTAAAGTTGGAAGTTAGTCTCTAGTGAAAAGGAAAATTGTTTAAAGAGTATTCTTTATGGAACAGATCTGACATTCATTAAATGAATATCAAAGTCTAAAAGTTTACAGATGAACTAATGAAATCTGTTCAAATTGGTGACATTTAAATGCTATGAGAGTGTTCATACACATTTTCATCTCAAGATTAGTTAATTTTTTTGGAAACTGCACAGAATAAGGATTCGGAAAACTTAGTTCTAAGTTTAGTTGTGATTTTAATTGACTAATGTTACCAGAGTAGTTCACCTTTTCTAGAAACATTAACTGTAACTGAAATTTCACTATGTAACTAAACATAAATAAGACTCATTCAAAAATTTAATTCATCAATATCTTATAACTTCCTGACTCCATACTCCTACTTCAATCTTATTGCACCCTTCCACAGTTCCGCTTATAATACTATCAGAGAAAGGAGTAATAATATGAATAAGTTAATAATCATTTGAGTAAATCTCAAAATTCAATGTGACATTAAGTGGGCGGAGCATATTAAGAAGCAAAGAAAACAGAAAGTGAGTGTTTAAATAACTGAAGTAGAGAATCCATTTAACTGAAATTTGAATTAAGTTTGAAGCTCATTTTACTGCCATTTCTCACTGAGCTCATTTCCCTCAGATGGGTTACATATGTAAAATGGCCTACCACAAATGCTGGTACACATTAGGAATGCAATAACAGTTGATCTTCCTACTTCTCTTCTATCGTTTTACCTAATACTGTAGTTGAACCACTTAGAATCTTGTTTCTTGGTACACTGCTATTAGAGTTAACAAATGGGTTTGGGGTTAAAACAGAAACAGGAAGATATATTGAGTTTCATCAAAGTAGCTATTTTTAATAATGTGATTAGTCACCAGATTTTCTTCTTTGTGCTCTAGTAAGAGGCTTATTTGTACATTGGATTTTTCTTCTTAATGTAAACTAGCCTTTCCTCTCTCTTTTTTTTTTATTGTTGCCTGTGTTATTGTCTGGATAGTGTGCTACCATTATTCAAAACAAACACACAGAGTAGAATAAAAATTCCCTGAATTTTCAAACTGCTAAAGCATGGATAGGTAAATGAATTATTTGAAACAAGTATGATTTATTTGTGGTCTGCAGTTATTCCTTGTAGCCTTTCAAGTCATTAAAATGGGGAGTAGTGGTTGGCTATAGTGTTGCATTAAAAGTAGTATAATACACTTGAAATGCATAATTATTATAAATTATTGAATCCATTAATTGTTCACCAGAATGATGAAATGTTATCAGAATCAGCCTATACCATTACTGATTCAACAATTTAAAAAGGTGATGCTAAATCTTATTTTTTTATAATATCTCAGTAGTTTTCTGTAATTTTAAAATCTTACTACTGAAGGTAGTATTGTACAATATAAAAATCTACTCATTTTCTTTGTATTTCATTGAAAAAAATCAATTTTAAATATTCCCATGAGGGTCAATAAAAGATAAATTAATAAAAGGAAGTTTTGAATGCAGTTAATTTGAATGGCTGGTATGTTTCATATACTCAATAGAATTGACATTCTTATCTCTTTTACCTCTTCATGTCCATTTAGAAGTGTATGATTCTCCTATGTTCTTTTACTTAAGAGTGTGTGCGTGTGTGTGTGTGTAATTATTTGAAGTGAAACTGGGAGTAACATGTCCATGTTCATGTTTGCTATATTCTTCATTATAATCTTCTAATATTTTCATGTCAACATACTTCTGTGGCTGACAAACTGACTGCCAGATAGGAAGAAGAAAAAAATCATGAATATCAAGCAAAGCAGAGTGATTCCTATTGCATGTCTTCCCTGCCAGTGAAGATCAACTCCTCAAAGGCTGCTGAAAACACCCCAGATTCTGTCTGTCTTCCTCTCTTTCTCCCCCTCTCTTTCTCTCTCTCCCTTTCTCTCTTTCCCTTTATCCCTTGCCTTCTCCTCCTCCCCCCCCCATGCTCCCACCTCTCAACTTTCCCTTCCTGTCTCTCCTTCTCCCATTCTCACTCCCTCCCCATCTTCCTACCATTTTGGCATAGTTTGAACCAGCAACTCTGCCTTCATGATGGAGTGTAAACATGTCTTTTTTGCTGATGATATTGTAGTTATTTATTAAAATCTGAGCTTATCTGTAACAAATCTGCTAAATTACACATTAATCCTTTTCTTTCTTCCTTTCTTCCTTCCTTTCTTTTTTTCATGTGAGTGATCGTAGTATTGTACTTTAACCATACTCAAACGATATACTCCTATTAGGTATATCATTTCAAAGAAGGGGATATGCATGGTGATTGAATTTGGCATTTGGAAAAGATCCTTCTATTTTGTGTTAGCATTAAAACATATCCATTGTGATTGTGAAAGATTTTCTAGCACTTCTTGAAGATTTTGGCAAACATGGTTCAACAGATTTGATCATAAAAGCTACCTAAATGGAATAACCAGGTTGAGATGTCAAGAAGATAGACTGCATAAGTAATATTGTTGATTATTAATTACTGAAGATATGCATTATGAGATAGTGTCCTTTTTATACTGAAGATGGTAAATATTACGTAGTAACTGCATGAGTAATATTGTTGATTATTGATTCCTGGGAGATGGAAGATAAGCATTTTGAGATAGTGTCCTTTTTACACTGAAGATGGTAAATATTACTGAGTAAAACTTGTAAGTCATAGCAAAGGAGACAAAGGACTATGAAATTACCTGGGAACTTCATTCTAATTTTGACTGTGCCTCTCTCATTCTCAGAGTAGCTTCTCATTTCTGTGACCTCACCATTTTATTCTTCAATCACATAATAAGACAGCATTGTAGAGAGGGGGAGAAGTCAACATAATCACAATATATTAAATTCATCTCCCTTTTGTTCCCCTTTAGCACTACCTCATTCCTGGGTTTCATTTAGTAGCATGTATATCATGATACTCTTTAACATTGAATGTGCTTTCTCCCCAGTTTTCTAAGTAAATTTTGTCTTTACATTTTTTTTTATTTTTCTTCCTAATTCATTTATTTTCCTCTTCTCACTATATGTATTTCTTCTCAATTAACTATTTCTCCTCCATTCTTGCCTTGTTCAATTTTCTTTATTCTTCTCTATTCTCTTCCCTCTTTTCAAAGGGGACGTCATTTATTTTATAATCCCTTAAACCTGAAATATTGAAAAGTGAGACTTCAAATGGCAGTGTTTCTGGTATTTCCCAAATATTATTCATATAGTCACAAGATGTTACTAGACTGTAGAAATTAATTACATTGGCAAGGGTGTTTAACATATTAATGAGTAAATGGTTCTTATAATAAAATACAAGAACACTATTGGGGTTCTCCATAATTGGTATTCTAAAACAGAAAACATGAAAGACTATCTTTTAGAATGGGAAAACATAATAGAAGACAGTAAAATTAAACAATGAATCACACATTTCAGTTACTCATAGTAATATGTGTTATTTGTCTTATATAGTAGTTTATGAGATATTATTTTATTATTTAAATTGAACTTCATTAAATTGTATGCAAACTGGTTTTAATGTCTTATTTGGCATAAATTGTATTATTTATTTTGCATAATCAAGTCATTACTTTATCATCTACCATAATATTTCATTGTTTTTCTGTTATCAAACTAGAATTCCATCTATTAAATCCTTATATAAAAAATTATTTAT